CTAGTCAGTTGGACCTTGTCACCATCTGTGCTGTTGTAGTGATGCAGCGTCTAGAGTCTGGCAGTCTGGTTTTGGTGCGGTGCAACAAAAAACCAGCTTCATTGCACCTGACTACTGCTACACCCTCCGCTTCAGAGGAGAGATGATTTACTCACAATTTCATTTCATTTCAGGACTTGCTGCCACAGACAAGAGTGATATGGAAAAACACTATCACACACGTTACAAGTTGTGTTCACGTAAAAACTAAGCTGGATTTGAATGCTGCAAACTGTGAGGGTAGAATAACAACACAAAGACCAGTGCTTTCACTGGTGCAGTGGGTGTTATCACGACAAGCCAGTGGTTGAGCTTGGCCAGTCCTCTTAATACACATATCACTTTACAGTGCTTCATGCTTTCAGCGGCCGAAAGTACTGCAGCAGCATGGAGAGAAGGTGTATGATTGCAAGTTTGTGAGGGAAAGAAAGAGACTCATGTATTGTTAATGAGAGCTGCTTTAGAGTAGAATTAGTCCAGTGAGAGGCAATAGTTGCATTTGGATGAAAAGCAAATAAATCTAAAAACAGTTTAACAGCCTTAGTTTGTGTTTTCATAAAGCAAATAGTGTTTCCTTGTAAGTAAATTGTTTTACAATTATATTACAAAGGGAAATTGTATCACAGTTTACTTATTCATATTTCAGAAAAGATGCGATCATTTTGTTTCTGTGAAATTCTTACTTCTTGTGAGCGAGCAGCAGTTCCTTGTGAAGCTCATTGTGAGTCCTGGACACCTTGGTGGGGTTTGAGTGACCCGTAGAGGCTCCAGGCTTGACTCCATTATCTGTCAAAGATATCACATCAAAGAACAGGTCAAACAAATGGGAACTCCCACAAAGAAATAATAAAAAAAACTATTTCACCAGGCTGTGCAGCAGCAAAAATGAAAAGCTTGTGTCAGACTGCTCGTCATGTCGTGTACAAGATACCTGTGTGATCAAATGGCTGATATGTAGTTTACAAAGTAATGAAAAGGTAACGATAGTGAGCCATGAGTGGCAGGATGGATGCACTATATAGTCCCAGCATGTGACACACCTGGAAAACCACAGACTTCAGCACATTAAACCAACAAGACGAGCGTTTTGTCCCGTTGAAAGAGTTCTGCTGCTAACATAAGATTGATACTGAGCTTCACATCTCACTCTGAGGTCGAGGATACCAAATCAATGCCTGAGCCATATCTGACCCATGTTGAAGGCTATAGAGATGGAATTGAGATATATGATGTTCAGTTTTACAAGCCATTACAGTCGTGTGTTAGTGGGATTGTACAAGATGAACTAACCTCTTCTATGATTGCTGCTCTGTGAATGCGTGATGTTTATCATCTTGCTTCTGGAGGCCAAGTGGATCTCCACATGTGTGTGATTACTGTAGTTAGAGAATGAACCACCGTGTGGCGGCGTTAGGTGAAGGTGTGTTCATTTGGAAAAGGAAGGCTGAACAGGGTGTGGGATGGTTTGGCAGTGATTGGAGACAGAAGCAAGGGGGGCAGCAGAGGTGGATCTAAATGCATGGACAGGCTTGATGCAGGGCAGCACCTGTGGACCTAGAGAGGAGCTCCAGGTAGCTGCTGCAGGGGCAGTAAGCAGTGTCACGAGAGGAGAAATTGAAATCAGAGAGCAGAGCAGACAGTAGTGTGGAAACAGATAGCCAAAGTAGAGATGTATAATTTATGCCGTCCCTGAGGGGGTGTTTACATGTATGACTTATCACAGCGCAAATACACACGATCAAAATGACGGAGATTCACTGCTACAACCACCACGTAGCTCACTGCACTACAACAGACAGCAGCATGAGAAAAGAAGTGGTGTAGGATTAAAGAAATATATAAGCTGAAGGAAGGCTTGTTGCTAGATGACAAATCGATAAGAAAAACACAAACGTGTAAACACTATAGACTGCATGCACTAAAGCACTAAAGCTGATCTCTTGTGTGCAGTTTATTTTATTTGAAAGAAAGAATCCAGCTGCAGCTACATTCCTACACAAATACTGAACAGTATAATGTCACGTATGACGTATTAAATGCTAAATGTTGTCTTCCAAACATGATGCAGACAGTATGCATCTCTCATTATTCTGTAATTATGTGTCTTAAAAGGTTGTTTAAATTTAAAGATGTCACTGCAACAAATAGAAACTACACAGTCCATAGAGTGCTACTGGATCTAAAGGAAAACGTATAGAGCCCTACCTGTGTTGTACTGGTCCTTCATGAGAGGTGGTTGTCTGAGAACTTTAGTCATCATGTGGAGCTGACAGTGATACTACTGAGAGTAGTGTTACTTGAGAGCTCTGAGTGCGGCCCTCGCTAACCGCTCGGCTCCGGCTGTTCACAGTCCACAGAAAGACCTTGTTTGGCATGTAGAACCGAGCCCTGCGATACCGGTGACTGAGCTTTTACCTGTTTCTCCGACTCACACAACATCATCATGACATCATCAGTAGAATATGCTATGCAGAGGACGCGGCTACGAGGTGTCTAAATTGTGGAATACCTGCTATTTATTGATTATTTAAAAAACAAGTTACACAAAGAAGGTTACCAAAAAAAAAAGCGTAGTTTCTTTTAGAAATCAATATTTAGTTTGTTTACAAAACTGGGTATCGTTCAACCAAATAGCATTTCTCATCTGTCATTCATCTCTTTTTCTTTCTTATTTTTACATGTTTGAGGTGTTCTCTTGCATGTTTCAGGCTCCTACACAATACAACAGTCTCAGTGATGAGTCATGTTTACATAACATGTAGTCTCACTTTATTATATAATAACAAAGAAAAGGGTTATTTTCAGGGATGGAAGAAATATTGATTGATAATAATCTCTAAAACATCAGCTTCTTTCTGAGCTTAGAAAAAAACAAAACTGTTTTCTAGTGACAATGCATGTGCTAGCTAATCCAACAGAGTTTAAAATAGTGCGTTTAGATTAAAGAGGACAGTTTTGCCAACACATACATGAACACTTCATCTTTCACCTCATCGCAGACATTCAAAATCAACACATTTTCACACAGAGTTCGTCAGTGTTGCTGACTGATATCAACATTAATGGTCATGAGATGAAACGCCCACCTGTAGGAGACTCCTGGTGGCGCAACCAGGTACTACAGCAAATCTGCAGCCTGTTCTCTACCTCATTGGCTCGTACATTTATAATCAATGAAATTACTAATGGTGATGAATCGATTAAAAGTTAATCAACAACGTCAGTAACCCACTACTAATTAGTCTTGTAGATGAATCGTAGCAACTGGACTTGCTTGAGTTCCTTGGAGACGTTCCACCTCTCATCCAAGAGGCTTCATCAGCTCTGACTGACTAGTTGGGAGTTCCAGGTACTGATATCCTGAAGGAGCCATTGACCGAAACTCAGGTGTTTATGGCTCCTTCAGGATTTAAGTATCTGGAACTCCCAACTAGTCACTCAGAGCTGATGAAGCCTCTTGGATGAGAGGTGGAACGTCTTCAAGGAACTCAAGAAAGTCGAGTTGCTACGATTCACCTACGAGAATAACCACGACCTGGATGACTGAGAATCTTCACAGACACCAACAATTAGGCAACTTAGCAAGAAATCATGAGTAGGTTAGATAAAAGTGAGCTATTACCTCCATTGCTGCACTTAACAGAACTTGGAGTCACTCAAAAACTCATTAGCTGAAGGGATGCACTCGGAAAAAAGTGGAAAAATGACAGAGCTGGCAGCAAAATCGCAGAGAGCCTGAATCTGATCAGAAGAAACTGTAAACAAGAAGACATGCTGCTGCTGGGTGTTTTTGCAACGTATAAGTTGTACTTTGAAGATGACTTTTCTGGGTAGATGTCTAAGGATCCTCCATATAGTGATGAGTACAGCCAACCTCCTCACAAGTTCACTTCTTCATCCCATTCTACTACTGAAATCCCCTTTTTCCACCCTCAAAGAAGCCACATTTACAGCTTTGCACTCCAGAACGTGGACGTGTGTCGTGACCATCCTCGTAGCATTTATTGGCTCTTACACTTCACACTTAAATACAGCATTTACCGATAAACAACCAGTCACTGCATTGCCCACATTGTACAAGGCCTCATCCTGCAGTCTAAGGGTGCAAAAGAGTATACTTTCCCCATTAGACAGCCCAATCTGCGATACTATGCTAACTACTCAGGTGTACCGTCATCCTTATTACAGGATGTTTAAAACCACATGATCCCCCCCAACACTACAGCAAATACAAATGCTGCATCGAGTGAGGTCTAGACAGGCTGATAGGGCGACTTAAACAAACTGACCACCAGGTTTATCACCACTTCAAATTTGTACAAATTCCCTTTTACAATATAAACAAATGTATTCAAATACACTCCTCTGTGAGGTTGGGCTTATCTCACACAACGCTGCTGAAGGTAGTCATAATGGACGCTTAGTGTGAGTGAGACGGTCATTGTTTGAGATCAAAATCAAATATGCAAAATGATCTTACGAGGCTCGCAGCTAGAAGGTCGCCGGTTCGCATCCCGGTGAGGACACCCGGGATCTTTCTGCGTGGAGTCTCCATGTTCTCCCCGTGCAGCGTGGGTTCTCTCCGGGTTCTCCAGCTTCCTCCCACAGTCCACAAACATGCTGAGGTTAATTGGTGATTGTAAATTGTCCGTAGGTGTGAATGTGAGTGTGCTTGGTTGTCTGTCTCTAAGTGTAGCCCTGTGATAGACTGGTTACCTGTCCAGGTGAACCTGCCTTCACCCTGAGTCAGCGGGAATAGACTCCAGCCCCCCATGACCCTAGTGAGGATAAGGGTGTAGAGATGATGGATGGATGGATCTTAGAAGGATTTCTGTAAATTGAAACTGGGGACCTGACTGCATCTCTTTAAAAAAAATACCCCCATTAAAACATCCATAGAAAACATTCCTCATCAGAACAGAAACAGACAGAACAATAAAATGATGACACGCTTTCCAATATTTTTGTGACAAAATGATGCATTTTATTGAAAATCATTATAAAGTTATATCAGTGAGTTTCTCATTTATCAGCATAGAACACAACAACTCGGTTAGAAAAAAGAAATAAAATCAGACCACAGAAGAAAAACGTAACCCTTTGTTTGTTCTCAGCCCAGACACCTTAGAAACTAATACTATTCATAGAGTTGGAAAATTTACAGTTACAACGGGGCATTATTAAAAAAATACTAAAAAAACCCCAGGGAGTCAATTGATAGTCGAGTCCTTGTGTTTGATCAGGATTCTTGGACCAAACACTGACGGATGTGAACACTGATGAGAACACTGATGGAATGTTAAAGCCACAAAACAATGCCAATCAAAAGCCGACACCGGACAACCGGTTTTTGAAATAACTGTGTACAAATTGCATCATTGTCAATATTATTATCATTTATATTTTTGTCACAATGCAGCAAAGAAAAGCTGCACTGAGCATCATGGCAGTAGTAAACATAAAAAACAGTGGTGAAAGTTGGCACTATTTTGGGACAATAAAAGGACGTTTGGGAATGAACGGCATGGAAGAGTGACTGCTATGAACCAAAAGACACATGATAAACACGACAAAACCTAAAATCACAACGACTCATCGGTCATCCGTCAATGTAAAGAAAAACAGCAACGTGTTTTAACCCTGAAATCCCCAAATGTCCTCCAAGGAAAACCCAACGAGACACTGTGTTGAGTCGTCAACAACGAATTTATGGGAAGTTTAAAGAACTCCTACAAAGGTGTTTTTCATGAAGAAGTGAAAGCATACATGTAGAGCAGGTTTACAGTGTTTGAGTCGTCGGTAGGTGTAGAGTTACATCTGAGCCGAAGTTCTTCTAGACGTGTCATTTTGATTTTACCGATATATATATATCTATATATGTTGAGTCCATTATCAATATATTCTACGGTGTTAAGCTGATATTAGGGGTTAGAACAATCCACCAAACAATCTCAACATCAACACTGTAAATATCCAAGACAGGAACACAGTTGATATAAAACAACAACAACTAAATCAACATTAACTCTAATACCTCTCGATTAAGACACTTGCATCATATCACCAAGTAAGTGCAGTTGTGTGAACGTGAGCTAAAACATTTATCTGATTACAGTATACGCGCCCAACAAGCTTGATTTCACAACAAGCAAAGACCGTCACAGGAAGTAAGCTCAGTGATTCAAGGCTGGTTTCGACCATTTCGTAACCACGCTGAGGAGAAGTACCGCACGTCTTCTGCTGAGACGTGAACATCTGACACGAGGAGGAGACCCTCCGGGGGAACCGCTCTGTGGCAGACTACAGTGGACTGACACTGGAAGGGAAGCTTTGATGCACCACATGTGGCACAATGGCACATTAGACAACCTTCGCATTCGTCCGGGGGGGGGAGTGCATACAGCGGGAACAATTCTTAAAATAAAAAATAAAACAAACAACAAAGTCGAAGCCTTACTTGCATAGTTTCGGGTATTTCTTCTATCAGGAATGAAAACATTTCTCTTTTCAGTCTTCTTAACTTTCTTAATCTTGATTGTCTGTGGTCCACCAGTCGGATGGTTTTGGTCTATTCTCTACACTTCATACTGCTTCATACTGTCTGTCCATCCCTCCTCTGTTGCTCTTCCTGAGGTTTTGGCCATTTTTCCAGATAAAAAAAACGTTTTTCCGTGTCTGACTCGAGCATGTAAGGCCAGAGGAGTAATAAGCTGTAAAGACTGCAACGCCCCTGAGACAGATTTGTGATGTAAACTATAGAAATAAACGGGTTTGACTTCATTGCTGAGTTCTGGGAGTCCAAACCACAAAATCGGAAAACTTTGGTCTGGATTTCTGGCTTGGACTCAGGCCTAATGTTGTTTTTTTATGTTATACTAGGAGCTGATATGTGGGCAATAATGGCTCGATAGTAGGACACAGGGATGGATGACAGATGGGAGGAGAATTATTCATTCATGTAGCTCAGGACAGACGGCCGTAGCCTCCGTCCTGAGCTACGGAGCTGAATGAATACGCAATTGTAGACACATGAATCGTCCTTTGTCTGTTATCAGAATAGACACTGCAGATTTTTCATACTGTGTCCAGTTCATTGTGTCCGAGACGAGTGACCTCCGTGGACGGCACTTGGAGCAGATCTGACGCACACACACACACACACACACACACACACACACTCATTTACAGACAGCATTAGTACAGCACACAGTGAAGGCTCCTACGTGGCAGTTACTTGAAGGCCGACTGCAGCTCTTTGAAAGCAGCTCGTCTCTGTTTCTGCTCTTCAACCTGCTTCTTCTTGGCCTCCTGCTCCTGGCGGATCTCCGCCTCGAACCGGTTGGACTCATTGATGGCGTGAACCTGTTCAGGAGGAAAACACACAGCGTCAGCCGAGCTCCACGTTTTACTACTCATGTACAAATGTGCATCAGAAATAGACTCAAGGTTCTTCTTCAGCTAAATGCACAGCTTCTCCTAGAGGCCAAAT